TTTTTCTGTAGGCTATGCAGTTTTATATGTCTCTTTGAGCGCCCATGTTTTTTTTTTTTTTCTTAATGTATTTGGTACAAGGTCCACAGGATTTCACAACATACATCAGACTCATAGTGATCCTCCTGTTTTCAGCCTCCCAAGTGCTGGGATTACAGGCACACGCCACTATGCCCAGTTTCAATCGCTGTCCTAGTGTGCCCTGGGGGTGGGGCCAGCATGGCACACCACAGCTCTAATCCTGGCCCCTGTGCTGTGCCTAAGCAGGTGCTTTAGTCTGCTGAGCTATCTGGCCAGCCCCGTATATATCTCTTTGAGATCACAGTTACTAATTACATCAACATCTCTTTTCCTACTGTTTTTGGTGCCTTGGCTATATATTAATTACGTAGTTGTCAGTTTCTACCTTTTATATTTCTAGTTTTTCCTTTTTGTATTTCAAAACTAGTTAGATATACAAAGGTTTACTTTAAATGTATTATTGTTGAACCTGTTTTCCTCATTTAACGATTTTGTTTTGAATATTATATCTCATTTTTCCTGGGTACATTTTTATCCTTTTATTTTCAATCTCTATTAGGGATAGGTCTTCCGTTTTTCAGACACTTGAAGGCATTAGAAGCAATATATCCTGGGCTGGAAAGATAGTTCAGCAGTCTAAGCACCTGCCTGGCAAGCACAAAGACCCAGGTTCGATCCCTGGCAGCACATGCTGTGCCAGACCCGCCCTGGGCAACAGGCTGCTTAGACTGGGCATGGTGGCACACACCTGTATGTCCTATTTCCATGCAGGCCTTGTGCCACTAAGCAATATCCCCAGCCCTTATTCCAGTGGGCTACTCTTCAAATTTTAATCTTTGTAATCAAAATACTTTTCATCACTTCAGAATTAATAGCCTCTCCTGAGCATAACAGGAGTGGTGACATTTGTATGTTCTCTGCCCCATGTATATTAGAATGGCCTCAACTTTTTTAAAAAAGTATTTTTAGTACAGGGTCTTTCTACACAGATTGGACTCATAATGATCCTTCTGTTTTCAGCCTCCCAAGCGCTGGGATTACAGGTGCGCACCACCATGCGCAATCTCAATCGCTGTCTCAGTGCTCTGGGGACAAGGGTGGGGCTAGGGCTGGCACCACAAGCCAAGGATTGAACCCCAGCCTCTGGGCTCTGCCTATGCAGGTGCTTCAGTTCACTGAGCTATCTGGCCAACCCCACCTCAACTTTCTTTAAATTTACTTTTAAATTTGACATTTTGTGTGGTCTTAGGGATGCCAGGTAAGGACTTTTCCATTGAGCTACATGTTCTGGCTCTAGAATTTTAGTTTCAATTATTTTCATCTTATAAACAGTAATTAAACTTACTTATAAATGTTACTGCTTCTGCTTATACTGCCTCTTCTATTCCATGTCTTCCTTTTATGATTCATTTTTAAAATTTTACCATTCTTCAGTAATTGTGTTTAAAACACTGCATCACCGTGGTGATAAAACTACTCATTCTTTGTGTAACTGAAAATGTTTGTATTTTGGCCTCATACTTTCATACTGCACTAGGAAAAGAATTCTAGGCTTTATTTTTTTCCCCTCCTTTGGGGACTGTATAAAGGTTTGTCCATGTCTTCTAGGTGCCAGTGCTGTTCATTTTTGTTTCTAGATGGATGTGCAGTTTTCTTCTCTCCAGAAGCCTTTAGATCTTTCTCTTTAACACTTCACTGTGGTATATAATGATAATTTCAGGTGACTTTAGTCCTTGTAACTCTGGAAAGGAAAGTCATTCATTACCCAGGCTGTCCAGAAGGGAGAGTGAGGGTAATTAAATAAATCTGGCCTCAGTCCCAGCAGCACATTTCAAGGCCGAGGTTGGGCCCTGGGCAGTTGGGTTCTGCAGTCCCCAGATCCAGGCTGGCCTGCTTTTCCTGCGCAGGGCTGAGCACATGTGTGGTGGGTGCTCACGGTCAGGCTCTGCACTTGCTGCCGAGAGCAACTGCTGGGGTTGATTTTTTCTTCCTCTCTCCCATCACCCTTCTCAGTCCTCGGCTTTTGTAAATTCAAATAGACAGAGTCTCTCAGACTGAGCGCTTAACTCTCTTACACACTTTCATGCTATTTGAATTATGAGATTTCAACTTCCCATATTTTTTAAAAAATCAGTTTTTAACTATATCCATTAACTATTTAGCTTTTAGTTCAATTTTCAAAAAAGATATTAATTTTTTTTCCTTGCAAGAATTTTCTTTTAGCGTACTTTCCTTGTAAGTGTTGTTTTTAGTTTTCTCCAAGTGTTTAGTAATCTTGTATGACTATTGAGATTTACAAATAAAGGAAGAGTAGGTTGTTTCGAAAATAGTTTTCTCGTACCTTTGGATAGGCAAGCTGACAGTAGACTTCTGTATACTTGAACATGATTGAAATCACTCTGTAGTTCAAAACAGTTAAAAGCTCTTCAAGTTAATATAAATTTATAAATAAAAATGTGTATGTTGGTGGTGCATGACCAAATGGGCTACAGAATAAAACAGCTTTAGAGTCTACTGCTATAGTTTAATCATAGGTCTTCTAACTAAGAACATTTGAATCAAAATGATTCTGGCTAGTATTTATTTTATATTTTAAGATAAGCCATTTAACTGAGCTACAGGTAACTCCCTTATAAGAATACATAAATAGGCTGCTATGAAGCATTTTCATAAGAATTACAGGTAGTTTCCTATCTTTTGAATTAATATGTTGCTAAAATATTACATAGATATAAAGTTTTAAAAATAGATGCTATTGCTATAGGTGGAATGTCACTTTTAATTAATTTTGTGAATTCCATAGAGTTATTTTAAGAGCTCCCTACGTTGCTAAAGAATTTTTAAAGAGGAATCAATATAAACAGATGATTGGCAGAGCTGGCCGTGCTGGAATAGATACCACTGGGGAAAGTATACTTATATTGCAAGAAAAAGACAAGCAAAAGGTAATGGTTAATCTCACTGCTTGGGTCCCCCCTTCTTGGTCTTCAGTCTAACCTCAAATGAGATCATGTTTATTAATTTTTTTTATATGACGCATCCTGCTATATGCTGAAAAATTAGGGAGCATAATTTGAAGATTTTTCTACTGTAGAGATCTTCCTTAATGTTATAGGGATATCTGGTAAATTCTCATTCTTTCATCTTTTCAGGTTGCTTGATTTGGTTTGGTGTGAATTCCCATTGACTTTACAAGATTTATGCAAAGTATAAAATCTTTACATGGAACGCCATGTATTCCTTTTTTAAAAGTTATTCTTTTTTTTTCAAAAGTTATTATTCTTTATTTATTTTGTTTTTAGCTTTTTGAAACTGGGTCTCAGCCAGGTATCCCCAGGCTGGCCTTGTACTTGGGCAGTCCTTCTGCCTCAGCCTCATGAATACTGGGATTATAGGATTATAGGCAAGTACCGCCATGCCTGGTAGAACCCTATTTGTTCTTTTTTTTTTTTTTTTTTTCTATTTTAGTACAAGGTCTCACTATGTAGATTGGACTCAGTAGTGATCTGCCTGTGGTCAGCCACCCAAGAGCTGGGATTATAGGCGCGAGCCACCACACCTAGTCTCAATTGCAGTCTCAGTGCACCGCAGGGGTGGGCCCAACACGGCCCTATTTATTCTTAATTAACAACACAAAATCTAATATTATGATCCTGTTTTAACTTCTCTAGGTCTTGGAGCTAATAACCAGACCACCAGAAAACTGTTACAGTCATCTTGTTCAGCAATTCACCAAGGGAATCCAAGCTTTGTTTCTCTCTTTGATTGGCTTGAAGGTACTTTTAAATCTTACTGCTCTTGCCTGAAATAATAAAGTTAAAATGTATGCAAACTAACTGAACTGCATAGACAGACTCTGTCTCAAAGTCTCCCTTCCTAAACAGAGCCTTAAAACACTGCTGAAAAAAATTAAAGACTTTAAATGGAAAAAGATTCCATATCCATAAATTGAAGCATTTCGTTTTCTACATATGTTACTTCTCAAATAGATTGATATAGACTGTCTGACCCCAATAAAATCTCAACATGTTTTTCTTTTTTCAGTAGCAATTACTATATTTTGGTGGAAGGACTCAGGACTTCCCCCAATACCAGAGCGTGCAGAGTAACAGGGAGACAGGGAAACTGCCATGGCCAGAGACATGTGGTTCATCACCCTGGTTTCACTCAGATTATTTTAATACCTGGAGTCCTGCAACTGAAATCCAGGCAGCAGGCAGCAGGCAGTGCAGGAGGAGAACAGGCAGCCAGCCGTCACTGAGCTGCACACGGGGAGCAGCTCAAACAAACAGGGCCAGGCCTGAGGAGGACCGGCCAGCAGGGCTGCTCCCACACCTCCCAGGGGAGCCCACTTGTGTTCTCCTTGTGGAGGAGGCTGGAATTCTAGACAGAGTTGACAACCAGGAACACTTTAGGTTTGGAACAGAAGCAGAAGTAAAATCCTGGGAACTGAAACTACAGGAATTGGACAAGATTAGAGAGAGAAAGGAACGGCAAGTTCTTTGATTTGGGCAGTGTGAGGGCAGGAGATGGAGGTGACAGCCCAGGGCCTGTCTTCCCTTCCTGTGTCCAGCTTCTCTCTCAGCCTCTGCCTGGTATAATTCTCACCTTCAGGTTTCAGCTTACCCGTCACTTCCATAGGAAGCCTTCCCCGTGCCTGCGACCAGCCAGTCCACAGTTAAGTGCTCCTTTCCTCTAGCAGAACCTGTCAGCCTGTCACTGTATTCTTGTTAGTGCAGTTGTTTGGCTAATAACCTTGCCCAGCAGAATGTAAGCTCTGCACGAGCGAGGCTTCCATTTCTTGCCCTTGATCACTGAGTACGGGTTCCTCATCATTGCTTGACATGTGGATGGCGTTCTGTAAATGCCTGCACTATTGAAACTGGCCGTAGAGTTGGGCTTGGCTCAACTTGGAACTTAGGGCATCAGTAAGAATCCAGCTGTCAGGTGGGAGGCACAGACTAATCTGACAGGGTTAAGCAGCTGTGTTACGAAGCTTTTCAGGAAGGACAGAAAGATGACAGGCACCAGGCGTTACACACCTGGAATCCCAGCACTTAGGGAGGCTGAGGCGAAGGACTGCAAGTTGGAGCCCAAACCAGGCAATTTAGTGACTTAGCACAGCTTTGTCTTGAGAAATAAAAAAAGAAGGGACTAGATTTCTGGTACCACCCTTTACCCCAGAAAGAGAAAGAAAAAGGGGAAATGTATACTAATTAAAAAAAAATAAGAATTGAGAAAAAATGGCCAATATAGCCATGAAAAAAATTAAAGAAATCAGTATATGTGCTGCTGAAGCAAGCATGAAATAAAGAAATTAAAAGGGCTAGGGACATAGCTCCAAGGAAAGGCCCTAGATCCAGTTCCTAGTACCACAAAAAAAGAAAGGTAATGGGGTCAAGTGAAGCCCCCATGCAGCCCCTGGCCTCCCACAGCGTTGCCTCTTATCAATCAAGGAGGGAGCGGTACAGAAGCCACCCCGGCCACCCACAGATTGAGCGTCTGTACTTGTGTGTCTGCAGGGTGTTTTAGCTTAGTTGAATATTACAGTAAAAGTAAATATTATTAAAAGGGAAGAGAGAAGCAATGGGACAATGTCTGAGCCCCATAATAAGTTTTGTTATTCCTCATATAAGCTTCATGTGAAAGAATAAGTTACTCAGTTGCAGTTAGCAGAATTATAAGAGTATAATATGCTCATTGATTGGCCATATTTTAGTTTAACCTGCTAATTTCTTTGAAATTGGCTAACAAAAGATTATTCTAATGCATAGTCAACACTCCATCTGAACATCAGGTAGTATTTAAGATGCCTGCATAAAATTATACATATCACTGATTAGATTTTATACTGATGTTTTTAGGTTAAGTAGCTTTGCTGTGTGGAAATGAGTAACCATCTCACTTAGTGTACAAGCTGTTGCCTGTAATTAAGGAAAATGCTTCAATGATGTCCTAAATTGTTTCAGATTGCAACAAATCTTGGTGACATATATAACTTCATGAATGGTACATTTTTTGGTGTTCAGCAAAAGATTTTATTGAAAGAAAAAAGCCTCTGGGAAATGACTGTCGAATCACTTAGATATCTGACAGAAAAAGGGCTCCTCCAGAAAAAGCCTGTTTCAGAGTCTGGCGAAGAGTTGCAATGTCATTTTCATATTACAAAATTGGGGCGAGCTTCTTTTAAGGGTAAGATTTTACCTACATCTCATTATAGCCAGAGGAAATGTACTGGAAAAGAATAAAAATTATCCTTTCTTTAAGGTACATTTATAGTCTTACATTAGTACCATTATTCTTACGAGCTGATATGCTCACATTTCCCCTCGTAAAAATGAACTATGTTCACCTTCCTTTAGGAGCAATCGACCTGGCTTACTGTGACACTCTCTACAGAGACCTGAAGAAGGGTCTGGAAGGGCTGGTGCTTGAAAACCTCCTTCATCTGATCTACCTGACAACTCCTTATGATCTGGTTTCTCAGTGTGACCCTGATTGGATGATATACTTCAGGCAGGTGAGATGAGATTTTTTTAACTTAGCCTTTGCTTTTTTTTCTTGTAGTACAGTGTCTACAGAGTCACACTATGTAGGTCCAACTCGTAGTAATTCTCCTGTTTTCAGCCTCCCAAGTGCTGGGATTACCACCATGCCCAGTCTCAGTTGCCATCTCAGCGTGCTCCACGGGCAGGGCCCGCAAGGCACACAGGGATCAAACCCTGGCCGCTATGCTATGCCTAAGCAGTAGCTTTAGACCACTGTGCTATCTGGCCTGCCCTTAGCCTTTGTTTTTTAAGAATAATATGATTTTTATATGATTTTTTATCATGAGTATTTACCTTTTTTCTCTACTGAAATACACTGATATTGGGCCTTTTCCACTTAGTTTTTAAAAATAATATGACAATGATATCTTTGGTTTGACTTCAGCATTACTTTTCTATTAAATATATTCAGTATCAGGAAAAAAAAAAAAAGAGGAAAGGACTATCTCTGGTCTCATGTACCCAGAGACAGTTCTACCAAGATTCATCTTATTGCCCATAGTATAAAGAAAGCGGGAGAAGACATTGCTTATGGCTGAGAATTTAGTCATCTGAAAGTTGTGCTGGTGCCAAGCACTGTGACACCCGATGCCCAAAGACATTGAACACTACAGGGGAATGTTCATGGGTAGCCAGTAGCAAGGTGGGGCTGGCCCTCTTGTAACAGAGCCAAGAAGGGTACAGGCTACGTGACTGCTGCGACCTGGCTGGCTGCATGGCTGGATGCATGGCTGGATGCACGTGTACCAGGCAGAAGCAGTGCACGGCTTTTTTCTTCGTGCTCAAGATGGAATCCAGGGCCTTGAGCTTCACAGAACTCCTCTACCACTGGGTTACACTCCCAGTCTCCTAGTCTTCAGCTTTGAATCTCAGGAACTCCACTGCTTTTTTAATGTCATATTTGAAAGTAATCACCACAGACCTTTTTTAGAAGTGGTACTGTGTAGTGCAGTTACTTTCAAGATGTTTCCCTCTTTCCCCTCTCGTCGGCCATTGCCAGTGTTAAGCATTGTCACTGTCTGTGGAAGCCAGCACTGTGGCCGCGTTCTTAAGTACAGTGCTGGAGAGAGGTCCTAAGGACCGCACCATGGGCACTTTCACCAGTGTGCACCCCGAGTGCACTTAGATGAACATGGCCAGGATTGGCACCAGTCAGTATGCTCTTATCAGAAGGCCATAGTCATGTGTATAAAGAATGATCAAGGGCCAGCCTGGTAGCGCAGCGGACTAAAGCGCCTGGTTAGGCAGAGCACCATGGCCAGGGTTTGATCCTTGGCATACTGTGTCAGCCCCACCCGCAGGCCACGCTGAGCAGGCAATTGAGACTGGGCATTGGCGGCACCCACCTGGGGGATTATTGGCGTAATCCCAGCACTTGCGAGGCTGAAAACGGGAGAATCACTACGAGTCTGATCTACATAGTGAGACCCTGGAGACCCTGCCCTAAATACAGAAAAAAAAAAAAAAATAGAATGATCAACATGAATGTATAAATGTAAAATCGTGGTAGAAGACACATTGACAGTAACCCCTCTCAGATACTCCTGCTGCAAGTGCATTTGCCCTGTCACTCTTGCCACTCTGAAGCAGTTCTGAAAGTCCTCTTTCGAGAGTGTCCTTATAAGTATAATCAAAATATCGTGAATTTGGCTGCCATGTGCCAGCCGACCGAAAGTCAGGCTCATAAAACATGATGGTGCATCTTCATCCACTTTATGCCATGGACCTGGTACAGAGTGACCTGTGACTAGGCCCCAGAATGGCAATGACCGGTGTACTGGTTGATACATTATATCAACTTGAGAAGTTTAGATATTAAGTTACTCAGCAGGGAGCCAGGATTCTTAATCTGTAAGCATCCTCATCCTGTGCAAGAGGAAGGCAAGGACACTGTGTGAGTTCTACACCCCAGCCCCAGGGTAGCTTCTTTACAATATAAGGAGGGGAGAGAGGCTGGCTAGAAGCCACAGCTGCTGCCCCTCTCTTTGCTCTTCGCTGTTTTCTGCGGCCATGAACTACTGTTCTCTGTCATGTGCCCCCTACCTGGAAGCCAGCTGAGTATAGACTGAAACCTTTACAAACTGTGAGCTAAATAAACCTTTCCTTCCTTAATTTTGGGTGTCGGGTATTTTGTCCCAGGAACAAGTAAAAAGTAAGACAACCAGCAAAGGGAAATGCTTTCAGTCAATTCAGGACAGGGAGGGACAGAGGCAGGGAGGATGAATTGAGTCAGCCCCAGTAGCACAGCTACAGCCAGGAAAGAGGACTTCCAGAACCACTGCACAAAGTGGCAAGGGTGATGGGATAAGTGTGTTCAGAACAAGGGGATTATTCTTATTTTGAGGTGGATTCATGGCAGTATATCTTATACTATAATACATTTTTTTAAAAATTAAACATTTTTCAGTCATAGTGTGTGATCTGATGTAAACTGAAATGTCATTTTGCCACTTATGACTATGATTCCACTAAGCTACATTATATTTTAATGCTATACTCTTAAAAACTCATGATACAACAAATAAATGTATATATTTTTCATCTCCTTTAAAATCATGACAATATGATGTCAAATAGATTTGGTTCAAATGATAAATTTTTCTTTTTCTTCTTTTTTTGAGGCATGTTCTCACTATGCTGTTCAGCCTGGCCTTATGTTCACTTTTGTAGCCCCCAGGCTGGTCTCAAACTTGCAGAGATCCTCCTGTCTCTGTCTCCTGAGTGCTGGGCAAATGATAAATTTTTTTGAAACTTACAGTTTGATTTTTTCAATTTACTCTTTTCCTATGCAGATCAGTCAACTCACCCCCGCTGAGCAAAACGTAGCCACACTCCTTGGCGTCTCCGAAAGCTACATCGCAAAGAAGGCCTCAGGTCAAACCACCAGGAAGGTGCTGTCATTTTTTTTTCCTAAGTAATGAACTAAGTTTACTCAGCAAAATTAATACCATTATATTGCATGCTTTATTGGTTAAATCTTTTGTTTCATATTTTAGTCCTGCAGTATACAGAAGGCATTCTAGGAGGTGGAGGTGGGGAAACTATTGCACTGTTGTGCGATGCCTTTCATTTGGGTGTTGGGTGTTTCACAGTTCAGTCAATAGGCATGAACCAAGTATCAGATGCATAAACTATGTTTTTTCTTTTTTTAAACTTTATTCTTTTTATTACTATGTATTTGTCATGTGTATTGATCACATTTATCATAGGAAATTTGTACCTATGATACATCTCAATTCTTTTTTCTCTTCAGCTCTTCTCCTCCTCATTTATTTGGGTTTTTGTTTTTCCTTTTTGAGACGAGATCTTGCTGCTGTATAGCTCAGACTGACTAGCCTTGAACTTTGCTATGTAGCCCAAGCTGGTATTACAGGCATGTGCCACCATGCCCCACTTCTGTTAATATTTAATCAATATATTTTGATTAAATTAATGAATGTCTAAAGTAGTAGAATATGAATTTATCTTAATTATGAATGTTACTCATTTAATATTTTAGAAGTATCAATATTGAGAATTCTAAAGAACATTATATTTACTTGAAATCAGATTGATTTTACCATATCTAAAAAGAAACCACTTCCTATTTTTAACAAGTCTTGCCAAAGATCTTAAAATTGATATCTTGCCTTGCAAAAATTGTATCATTTTTCTTGGCTTAGGAAATACATTCCAAGCAAAAACCTACATCGGCTCAATTTATAGTTAATAAGGGCACATTAAAATTGAAAAATGAAAAGGCTGCCTTATCCTACTTGCTTCAACTCTTATGCTTTTCATCTTAATGCTTTTTCTTTTGGTGACTGGCTCAGCCCAGGCGGGGCTGGCACAGTATATGGTGCCAGGGATCGAACCACAGTCCCTACATTTTGCCTAAGCTTGCCTAAGCAGGCACTCTAGACCCCTGAGTGATCTCACTGGCCCATTAATGCTTTTAGGGTGTGTGTGTGTACGTGTGTGTGTGTGTGTGTGTGTGTGTGTGTGTACACGCGCAAGGTCTCACTATAGCTCAAACTCGTCGTGATCCTCTTGTTTTCTGCCTCCCTAGTGCTGGGATTACAAGAGTGTGCCACCACTCCTGGACTCCATCGCAGGCTCAGTGTGCCCGGGGGCAGTGCCAGGGATTGAACCCTGACCCCTGTGCTTACCTAAGCAAGCACTTAGTCCTCTCAGCTATCTTGCCAGGCCACCATTAATGCTTTTTTGCTTTTTTTTTTTTTTTTAACTAATGCTTTTAAAAAGAGTGATCCATTCTTTCATTTCCAGTATTCTTTGTTGTTGTTGTTGCTGTATTTTAGGGAAGGGTCTTTAGGGTGTTCAGGGTTTCACTACTAGATCGGACTTCTAGTGATCCACCTGTTTACAGACTCCCAAGAGCTGGGATTATAGGTTTGAGCCACCACGCCCAGTCTCAATCATATCTCAGCATGCCCCAGCGGGATGGGGCTGGCATGGCAGGCCCGGGGATCAAAATCTGTGCCCTGCACCTGCTTGCAGGCGTTTTAATCCGCTGACCTGTTTGGCCAGCCTTTCCAATATTCTTTTACAGGGGCCGGGGAGATAGCTCAGTAGAATAAGCACTTGCCTGGCAAGCACAATGGCCTGATTTCAATCCCTGGTTCCGAAAAACAAAAAAACAACACACACACAAAAAATCCATTATTCTTTTACAATAGTAGAAGATACAATTTTGGTTCTGATTTTTTTTTTTTTTTTTTTAATGTATTAAGTTCCGGGTCTACAGGATCTCACTACAGTGATTGGAACTCATAGTGATCCTCCTGTTTTTAGCCACCCAAGCTCTGGGATTACAGGCATGTGCCACCAGGCCCAATCTCAACCACTGTTTTAGCAGGACCTGGAGGGGGGCAAATCGAACCCCTGGACCCTGAGGCACTTTAATCTGCTAAGCTATCTTTGGGGCCCTTGGTTCTGATTGTGATTTTGGTTTTTGACACAGGCTGGCATCAAACTAACAGTCCTCCTGGCTCATGCCTCTGAGTGCTGGGGCTATGGGCATGCACTACCACACCTAGCTAGACAAGCTGAATTTCATAATGTATCCCTACTTTTTCCTGTTCATTTTTTTTCTCTTTAAGCATGAGTTAGTTTCCAAATTAGCTTGACGCTAGCAATGAAATACCTTATGGAGTCACTAGAACCACGGGAAAAGGATATACCCAAAACAAATTGTTAGCTACAGGAAGTATTTTTCTTTCTCGTTTTAACTTTGAAAACATTAATTATTTCTCATGATCATGTGGAAGTCTGCATAATTTTTACTCAGTTTTTACTATGGACAAGCTTATTAACTTATTTATCTACATTACTTTATCTAACATAATCAAAGTCATACATATCCCGGTGTATAAGAACCCCTGAAAATGTAGGAACTGCCCAGCTCCCTCCCTGTGTGCACTGTATTTGTTGGTGTCACTCTGCAGCAGAGGGGCAGCATAGCAGTGTGATGCGCTGGGTCCAGTTGTTGCACCAAAACACCCCAAAAGTAGCATCCCTCTCCGACCCCATCTCTCTTATTCTGGTTCCGGAGCCCAGAGATGCTGAACAGAAGTCACCACAGCAGTGGTTCCTGCAGGGGCTGTCTCTACCGTTGGTGTCCCTTGTCTCACCGAGGCCTCTGTCCTTGTCAGCCTGCGTCCAGCATGGCTTCTCAGGGTCCTCTCCTCATCCCACTGGACCTGGGTGATTTCACTGGAGAGGTCCATGACAGTGTCGAGGGTACACAGCAGATATCATATTCCCAAGTCAAAGCACATCTTAGGCACTGGTGTCAGCACTTGAACTTTATTTTCTAGGGGAGCATCATTCAACCCACCTCACTACCTACAGAAGGAAGTTAATTTAAATTGGAAACAATTTGCCATATCTTTTTTGTATTTGGAGAAATAATAATGAATTTCATGTAAAGTACATATGTTAGGGTGGGGATGTAGCTCAGCGCACAAATGCCTGCCTGAGGAGTACAAGGTCCTGAGTCGGATTCCCAGTACAGAAAAAAGAACAAAAAGTACATACGTTAGAAATCAACGGGAGACAGCCAGAGGTCTTTTTATGTTGTTGTTTTTGTTTTGTTTTGGTGGATTTGTTGGTTTTGTTTTGATACTGGGAATCGAAATCAGAACCTTGGGCTTGCCAGGCAGGCACATATGTTAGAAATCAGATTTGTATTTATGGAATCATTCTGGGTTTTTTTCTTTATTTCTTTATTGGATACAGGGTCTCACTACACAGTTCAGACTCTTGGTGATCCTCCTGTCTCAGCCTCCCCAGTGCCAGAATTACAGGTGTGCCAGTTTCAAGGCTGGCACCGCATACCTGGGTTCTGGGACTGACCCAGCATGCAGTACCAGGGATCGAATCCAGGTCTTGAGTCTGCCAGGCAGGAGCTTAGATCCCTGAGCTATCTCCCCTCTTGCCACCTGTGCTATACAACTTCATTCACTTCATCTTTTGTCCAATTTGAATATAACATGCAGTTTTACATCCATTTATTGGATGGTGTCTTTCTAGAAAGTGGACAAGAACATTGTCAACAGACTCTACCTCTCTTTTGTCCTCTATGCCTTGCTCAAAGAGACCAACGTTTGGAGCGTGTCTGAAAAATTTAATCTTCCTCGAGGATCCGTACAAAATCTGCTCACTGGCGCTGCTTCCTTCTCATCCTGTGTGTTACATTTCTGCGAGGTGAGGCCACTAGAGTGCTAACGTGTGCTTATACCTCTTGTTTGAACTGTTACTGACCTCAGCTAATCGGCATGTGGTCTCTTTGACTTGTGTTATTTCAGAGCATACAGGATTTATTTGAAGTCTATTTCTTTACATGTGCTACAGCATACTATATACATTTTTATGATACATTTATGGAAATTACTAAATCACCTGAAACACTTAATAGAGAAGTAGAAAGTGCCAAGTTAATCCTTCTTTTAGGGCCACCATTAATAGCTTCAGGTGTTTAGAATTAACTACTACCATTTTGAGAGCTCGTTATTCTTTATCCAGGGCCATACAGCAACTCCTCTTGCCTTCTGGATTATGGTCTTCGTTATTTTCTATATGCTACATCTGGAAGTATTAGAATATTTCAAGTTTATATAACTGGGAAATATTTTACTTTTAGTTTTCAAAGGTATGTTTGCTAAGTATAAAATTCAATAAGGACAGATCTTTTTTTGCAGTCCTTTGAATTAATTAGTTCAGTTTCTTATCCATTTGCTCTTTTTTTTTCTAAAGTGGAATAAGATGCTATTTAATTTTGTTATTCCATAGCTAATATTTTTATGTATATTCTTGAATTTTTGTCTTTACAATTAATTTTGGACTATTTCATTTTTGTGTATCTTGGTATGATTTTACGCATATTTCTTAGGCAAAAGTTTCATTTTTCCTGGAAATGTGGCGTTATACTTTCAACTACATTCAGAAATTTTAAATCTTTAAATACTCATTGTCTATCCCTTTCTACTTTGAGAATTCTAATTATGTGAATATGAGTTTCTTGATTTTGGCACTGAGAGAACTATTATTATTATTTTTTTTTTTTAAGGTAAGGATTCTCTCTTTTTTTTTTTTACATTTATTTATTTGTGTGTGTGTGTGTGTGTGTGTGTGTGTGGCCAGCTCAGTCCACCAGGGGGCGGGGCTGGCTGCCATGTAGTGCTGGGGGATCGAACCGTGGTCCCTGTGCTTTGCCAAGCTTGTTCCAAGTAGGTGCTTTAGACCACTGAGCCATCTCACCAGCCTGAGAGAACTATTATATGACTGATCTGTAAATTCTTCTTCATCTTTATTTTAGACAACTTTTATTGTTACATTCATTTAAGTTTGTAAATAATTTATTTACAATGTGTAATCTATTATTAATCTCATGGTATGTATTCATTTCAGAAATATTTCTCTAAAATTCACTTTATGTCTCATATCTTTCACATTTCAATGTCTACAGTTTTAAATGCTATATAATTATTGATTTTCAATAAAGTTAATGAGAAAAAATTTTTAAAAACAGTAAAAAAAAAAAAATAGAATTAACTATTAAAGCAACCACTTTTCGTTGCTGTCAATTCCCTGTGATGAGTAGTTTTCATGTGTGCATGCGGCAAGCTTGTCAGATGCTGGCCGAGTACGTGAGCTCTCCCAGCACTCTGTGTGGCTGCTCCGCCCTGTCCTCCTGAGGGCCATGGCAAGGACCATATTTGCTTCCAGCATCAGGCAGCTGTGTCAGGTTTCTGCAGCAAATTTGTATTTTATAAAATAATTCAGAACTTTGTTTTGGCCTTAGGTATTTGAGGTGGATTTAAGACTTCAATTTAAAAAGATCTTAAAGTTTGCTTAAATAGAGCTCAACATTGATCAGACTTTTCAACCGTGACAACTTTTAAATTAAATTTATAATATAAGCCATTTTTTGCTACATTAACATTGCTTCTTGTTGAGTGGCATAGTAAGTAACCCTTCCTGTATTTGTTTCCATACTCAGTTTTTTTTGTTTTTTAATAATATATTTAGTAGAGGCTCTACAGGGTCTCACTACACAACTCAGACTCATAGTGATCCTTCTATTTTCAGCCTCCCAAGCACTGGGATTACAGGTGCGTGTTCAATCGCTGTCTCAGTGTGCCGTGGGGGCAGGGCCAGCATGGCAAACCAGGGACCTTGGTATGAATTTATTTGGTCCCAGAGTTCGATCCGTGCTCCCTGTATCTGCCTAAGCAGGCACTTTAATCTGCTGAGCTATCTGGCCGGCCCTGGTTTTGTTTTGGTTTGGTTTGATTTTTGTTGTCTTTTTGAGACAGGGTCTCACTCTACAGTTCAGGCTGGACTTGAGTTCACTTTGTAGCCCAGACTGGTCTCAAACCTGCAATGATCCTCCTGCCTTGGCCTCCCAAATGCTGGGATTACAGGGGTGCACACAGGGCACATGCTCAGTTTTTTTATAAACTTTTTCCTATGAACTTTTTTTTTTTTTTTTTTGGTGTGTTTTTTGTATTTGAGACAGGGTCTCACTATGTAGTTCTTGTTGGCCTTGAACTCACAATGTAGCCCAAAATTGTGGTGAACCTCCTGTCTCTTGTCTTCTGAGCTCTGGGATTACAGGTGTACATCTCCAGCTCTGTTTTCTAAATTTGAAGTTTATTTCAGTTTTCCTCTTAACCCTCCATATTCTGTGTATATATGTGATAATTTTATCACAGGTGCTAATGAAGGGAGTAAACACCCAAAAATTTTGCATCAAAGATCATTATTTCCATAAATTTGCCTTTCTAAACATCGTTTACTAGGTTGACTTTTAGATGTTAAAAATTGCTTAAGTGTATGCTAGTTAAACAAATAAAATTATGAATAATAACATATTTTCTTAAGTTTTCTGTTTTTGTTTTTTATAGTATTAAAATATGCTCTCCCTGATGATCCTTCCCTTTGTTTCATTAAGGACCATGAGGATTTGAGCCTTTACAGAATTGCTCAAGTAAAAGAATCTGTGTGTAGAACTTGAAAAAACACCTATAATTTGATGGCTGAACCTAAGAAAAACCTAGGTGACCACGTGTGCTTTCACTGATGCAGTCTCACTAAAGTGTTTTTTCTTTTAAAAGTCATAGAAGTAGTATAAAAAGGTACTGTGCTAGAATTAACAAAGGAATACAAAAGTTCAGTCCCCAGTACCACAAAAAAAAAAGGAATAGAAAAAAAAAAGCTCTGCAGAGGTTTAACTGCAACAGCAAGCAGAAGCACCAAAACAATACCCAAGATTTGAAGGCAGATTTATTCTACTGGGGCAGGACGCTGATTAGGATCATTTCCAAAATATCAGGCCCTGCAGGCTCAGGGAGGAAGGTCTGTATGGAGTTGAAAGAGAAAAGACAGAGGCAAAGTAGTTGGCTGCCTTTGGTTGGTTCTTACAGTATGTACCACAGTGACCGGCCACATCTAAGAGAAGAACAGGAACCATAGCAGGACCCGGGCATCTAACAGACTGGCTGGGGGGGCATTTTCTGCTACATACCAAGTGAAGGAGGTGACTCCCTTCTGTGACAGGAGGCCGCACTAGTCCTGGTGGTGGCAGCAGGGCTATTCTGGGTTTTCTTCCTGCTCTTCCATCTGGATTGTACCAATTGCTGCTTCTTTTGACCAGCGGATGCTGTTCTCTGCACCATTTGCTCCACCATGACCCACAAGCCAGAAAGGACTTTTGGTTTAGCTTGTTTTTTTCACTGCTGGCAGCTGAGCCCAAGGATTGATGAGCTACATTCTTTTTTTTTTTTTGCTTTGCAGTTTATTAAAAATGAAAGTAAAACTTTACATTAAAATATGTCAGTTTTAGCTTCCACATCATTGTCTGTGCACCACTAAAATCTGTTTACCGCAAGGGGGATGATGAGCACCTGTACCCATGGCCACAGGTGAATGCAGGCCAAGCTACGTACTTTCTGTCTGTCTGTCTGTCTACTTATTTTTGAGACATTGTCTCTAAGTTGCCCATGCTGGGATCAAACTTGTGATTTTCCTGCTTCAGCCTCCTGATTAGCTAAGAAAACGACTGCAATAGAAAATTCAAATTATATA